TTTGGAAAGCTGTGGATGACAGGGTCTCAACGCTTTGCAGCTCCAGTGCCGGGAAGAGCGCATCAAAAGATGCTGCCTGCGTTGGTCGCCTGCCAACGGATGGGCTGGTTGCTTTCTTTTCTGACAATGGCAACAGCACTCACTGGAATGACGAGTACGGTGGTGTGGGAGCGACGGTGTCTGAGAAGGGGGTGAAGAAGGTCTATAATGGCTTTGAGCTGACAGGGGTTGATGCACGTATTTTTTGGCCGGCCGGCAGTAATTATAATAATGCACTGTACAGTCCCCGATATGAGGAGCTTACTGTTGTGGCGACGGTGACCATCAACGGAGCCCCAGAGAAAATCACACCTTTGCTGGGCGTGAGCGTGGTGGGCTCAACCTGGAGAGAACTGAATCTGTGGTACGACGAACATAAGCACTGGAGGACGGAGGCAGGGGAAGGAAAGGGTGCAGGAACAATTGCGTGGGAGGCGGGGAAGGCGTACCGAGTGGTGCTCACGGTGCGGAACGGTGAATGCACGGCGTACGTTGATGGGCAGCTTTTGGGGAGTTTGGTGGAGAAACACCCATTTACTTTGGGAACTCCTCCTAGGGCTGGGGTGCCTGCGCAGGAGAAGATACCTGAAATGGTTTCTCAAATCTTTTTTGGGAGTGACGGGATAAACCTGGAAGGAACAGTACGCTGCTTCACAGTGAGGAACGTTTTGCTGTACAGCCGCTGCTTCAATGACAGTGAGGTTGCGGCACTGGAGAAGCGGGAAGACAGCGAGTCGTCGGGAGCAGCCGGCACTGACTCCGCGAAGGGCAAAGCAACCGGCAGTTCTGCAGGGGAAGACAGCGAGTCGTCGGGAGCAGCCGGCACTGACTTGGCGAAGGGCAAAGCAACCGGCAGTTCTGCAGGGGAAGAAGTTGGACGAGGCGGTGCAGCAGCGGCAGACCCAAAAAACACATCCGTCCCAATCACAAAGGGGGTTGGGAGCACAGTGGTGAAGGGGGCTGTCAGTGGCGACAGCACCGTCCGTGGGCATCTGTGTGGAGTGCTGTCCCTGCTTCTGCTTCTGCTGGGGCTGTGGGGCGTTGCGGCCTTCTGTTGAATGAAGCGAGGAACGGTACAATTGCGACTTTTCGTGTAAAAACGAAATGTGCAGCCTCCCAGTATCACTCTCCGAATTTCTTTAATATACCCATGTTTGCTTTTTCTTTCTTTTTTTGCCTGCTGTTTGTGCTTGTTGGGTTCAGTGGCATCCCTTTTTTCTGTTTTTTTTTTTTTTTTTGTATTG